TTTTTCATTTTGCAAAACTGAAACTGCCTATCAAACAATAACTTCCCATTCCTCCATCCTCCCAACTCCTGGCAACCTCCTTTCTACTTTGTCTCAGTAAGTTTGACTAGTAGTAGAGTGGAATCATACACTTAGCATAATGTCCTCAAAGTTCGTCCAAGTTGGAGTGTGTCAGAATTTGCTTCCTTTTAAAGGCTGAAAAATATTCCATTGTATTTATATACATTGTTTATCCGTACATCTGTTGATGGACACTTAGGTTGCTTCCACCTTTGGCTGTTGTGAATAATGCTACTATGAACATGACCCTTGAACTGGTCTTCAACCCTGCTTTCAATTCTTTTGAGTATATAGCTAGGTGTGGAATTTCTGGATCATATGGTAACTCTACTTTTTATTTTGGGGGGAGCTGTCATACCGTTTTCCAAAGTGGCTACACCACTTTATGTTTCCACCAGCAGTTCTAAGTGTTCTAATTTCTCCACAGCGTTCTCAACATTTGCTATTTTCTGATTATTTGTTAACAGCCATCCTAACAGGTGTGAGATGGTATCTCACTGTGTTTTTTGTTTTGTTTCGTTTTTTGGCCACACTGTGCCGCATGTGACATCTTAGTTCCCCGACCAGGGCTTGAACTCGGGCCCCCTGCAGTGGAACCATGGAGCCCTAACCACTGGACTGCCAGGGAAGTCCCTCATTGTGGTTTTGATTTGCAATTTCCTAATGACTACTGATGTTGAGCACCTTTTCCTGTGGTTACTGGCCATTTGCATACCTTCTTTGGAGCAATGTCTATTCAAGTCTTTTGCCCATTTTACTTTTAAATTTTCATTATTTTTTTTCTACATCGAGTGGCTTTCAGGACCAGGGATCGAACCCAGGCCCTGGCAACGAAAGTGCTGAGCCCTAACCACTGGACTGCCAGGGAATTCCCTCGATTGTGTCTTTAATCTGGCTTTTAAAGTAGGAAATACTAAATTTCTGCTTAATAAATAAAATGAATGTAAAAAAAAAAGCTTTAATATCATATTAGGAGCAGTGAAAAGCAGGAATAACAGTACAGAAAGAGGAAATGAAGCTGAAGAGAATGTGAAGAAAGAAGAGTAAGGGAGACAGAATGGCAAACACAAAAGTATGCAGTTCTTTGTGTCAAATCTTTTATATATAATTTGTTTATTTTTCTGGCTGCGTTGGGTCTTTTTAATTTATTTTATTTATTTATTTTTTGGCTGTGTTGGGTCTTTGTTGCTGCACGCAGGCTTTCTCTAGTTGCAGTGAGCAGGGGCTACTCTTTGTTGTGGTGTGTGGGCTTCTCACTGCAGTGGCTTCTCGTTGCGGAGCACGGGCTCTAGGCATGTGGGCTTCAGTAGTTGCGGCTCGCGGGCTCTAGAGCACAGGCTCAGTAGCTGTGGTGCATGGGCTTAGTTGCTCCGTGGCATGTGGGATCTTCCCGGACCAGGGCTTGAACCCTTGTCCCCTGCATTGGCAGGCGGATTCTTAACCACTGCGCAACCAGGGAAGCCCTGCGTTGGGGTCTTAGTTGCAGCACACAGGATCTTTTGTTGCAGTGCACGGGCTTCTCTCTAGTTGTGGTGTGTGGGTTTTTTTCTCTGGTTGTGGTGCGCGGGCTCCAGAGTGCTTGGGCTCTGTAGCTTGTAGCACACGAGTTCTCTTGTTGAGGCGGGTGAGCTCAGTAGTTGTGGCACGCAGGCTTAGTTGCCCTGCAGCAATGTGGGATCTTAGTTCCCCGACCACGGATCGAATCTTTTTATCCCATTTATTTATTCAGTTAAGTTTTAGTTTTGCCATCTCTTGCCTTTAGTAATATTCAGTCATTCAAAAAAGTTAAGTCCTGAGTGTAACTTTGGTGTTGCCTGCATTGAAGAGGTTTTTATGGTGATAAGAGGTTAAGGTAAGACAGATACTAAAAATTAAGGTGGAGCAACAGAAGATTGTGAAGAGGGAGCCTGGGAAAGTTTGTTGTCACTGTGTGCCTTCCAGCACACAGCTCTGCCAGCTCTGAATGAACCCTGACCACTTCTCCTGAACAGGGTATTCTTCTAGGACTTGAAATTTTTTTAATTAATTAATTAATTAATTAATGGCTGCATTGGGTCTTCGTTGCTGCATGCGGGCTTTCCCTAGATGTGGCGAGTGGGGGCTACTCTTCATTGTGGTGTACGGGCTTCTCATTGCAGTGGCTTCTGTTGTTGTGGAGCATGGGCTCTAGGCACGTGGGCTTCAGTAGTTGTGGCACGTGGGCTCAGTAGTTGTGGCTCACGAGCTCCAGAGCACAGGTTCAGTAGTTGTGGTGCAAGGGCTTCGTTGCTCCGCAGCACGTGGGATCTTCCCGGACCAGGGCTCAAACCCGTGTCCCATGCATTGGCAGGCGGATTCTTAACCACTGCGCCACCAGGGAAGTCCTAGGAGTTGAAATCTCTGAAGGGGAAAAGCCATGGCTATTCCAATCGAGGCTGAAACTCAAAAATGTCAAAATTTTTTATTTTTATTTATTTATTTTAAAGATTTTTTTTTTGATGTGGACTGTTTTAAAAGTCTTTGTTACAATATTGCTTCTGTTTTATGTTTTTTTGGCCCCAAGGCATGTGGGATCTTAGCTCCCCGACCAGGCATCAAACCCGCACCCCCTGCATTGGAAGGTGAAGTTTTAACAACTGGACCGTTAGGGAAGTCCCTGACAAAATATTTGAAAACAATCAGTAATAAAATTAAAACTCTTGGCTATAAGGTAACTTCATAATTCAAGGCCGTGATGGTTTAATTTAGCATAGGTCCCTATCTTCATCTTCCCTCCCTCCCCCAACCAATGATTTGACAGATGCTTAGTGTTTCTTAGTCATTTCCTCTTTTTAATTTTTGTGTTCCTGTTGAAATGAACTTTAGTATATGCCCAGCTTTTCAAACTGCCAGGCAATGTGGTCTGTGGTGGGTGTTGGAAATCACAAGGCCGACTGCTGTTGGAGGCTATTATCATTGTTGGGGGATTTCTATGAAGTGACTGTACTGAGTAAGGTTACATTTTTAGCTGATTTTTCCTAGGGTGTCATAGTCTGTAGTGCTTCTGGCTGGCAGTACCAGGAGGTAGGCTGTTTTGAAATATTCCTTTAAGTGAGATAATTTTGTATAGTCCTTACTTTTTAAATAATTTAATTCAATTGGCTGCACCACGCGGCTTGCAGGATCTTAGTTCCCTGACCAGAGATCCAACCCAGGCCCACTGCAGTGGAAGTGCAGAGTCCTAACCACTGGACTGCCAGGGAATTCCTAACAGAGTCCTCATCTGCAGGCTGAGATTTTTTCTCAGGTTTAGTTTTAGTTCTACCATCTCTCTATTTGATGAACACTCTGCCCAAACTTATATTAATAGTATTAGAGCACCTGAAAGAGTATGAATCAAGTTTATAACTATTTTTTCAGATACACAAAAAAGCAGTTATAATCTCTCTATTCATAAATTAATGACAAAGCTATAATAACCTAATAAGGTTAACAGGTGCTAAATAGAAATACATCTTGGAGCAGAGCCGCCGCCTTGACGACGTGCTGGGATGGCTGCGAGGACCCTGCTGCTCTTGGCTCACTGGCCCCAGCAGGGGGATTTGGGGGGACGTTCCTAGCAGCTGTCGAAACCATTTGTTTTGGGGCTCCTCCCTGTTTCTCCCCTGCTCGGCACTGGCTGCCAACGTACGCTTTTCCTTGGTGGAACGGAAAGATGCCTCCAAATGAGCTGACGAGCTCCAAGACCGAGTTAAGTCCACCGGTGTGCACCCGGCAAACTACTTTTTTGAGCATGAAGTGCTATTTGGGCATTTTGCCAATTGGTTCTGACATGTGTCTGACATTGAGGACCGTTTGTGTTGGGAAGTGCACTTAGAGGAAGCTAGCTTGATGAAATACTGTTTTCAGAATTTTGACCCTGAGAGAACAAAAATATGCCCAGGAGAAAGCTTGAAGTTAACTCTTATCATGTCCTTAAAATACAAACGCAGCCCACTTTGCCTGAGACTTCAGCCTTGGGTTAATTAGTGGAACTTCAGAAGATGTTTGGGTTTATTAAACACGTATCTTGTACCACATTAAAGAGAAATTATGCTATGAGAAAGATGTTAAGTTTTTAGAGGTTATGGAATATGTTCATAAGTTTGCCAGTCAGTAAATGCTGGTACAACAGTTCAATTACTTGTTTCTTCATTTTGTTAAGGCTTTTAAGGGTTAAAAATTGTAGTATGTAATTAAAGCTACTAAAAATGATAAGGGAAGCATTTCACTGTGTAAAGCAAGTAGGATATGTGTCGTCGGCAAGGGAAGGTATAAAGAATGGAGTTTGTTTTTTTTTAATTTATTTATTTTACTTATTTTTCTTTTTGGCTGCACTGTGTCTGTTACTGTGCCTGGGCTTTCTCTAGTTGCGGCGAGCAGGGGCTACTCTTGGTTGCAGTGCGCGGGCTTCTCACTGCAGTGGCTTCTCTTGTTGTGGAGCGTGGGCTCTAGGTGCACGGGCTTCCGTAGTTGTGGCACATGGGCTCCCGTAGTTGTGGCACACGGGCTCAGTAGTTGTGGCTCGCGGGCTCTAGAGCGCAGGCTCAGTAGTTGTGGCGTACGGGCTTAGTTGCTCCGCAGCATGTGGGATCTTCCCAGACCAGGGCTTGAATCTGTGTCCCCTGCATTGGCAGGAGGATTCTGAACCACTGCACCACCAAGGAAGCCCAAGAATGGAGATATTTTTGTTGAGGAAAAATGATGATAATAATTTTGTCCTAGAGCTGCTTGTTTCTGGATGGGGCAAACTAAGGGACAAATCATATGGATATAAAACGTCATAAAACGTTTGTGAAAAAAGGGAACTTTGAGAAAAGAATTTTGTACATTGTCAGGAGCGATTAAGATTAGATTGGATTTAATTAGGTAAATAAACTTTGTTACTAATAGTAAGCTAAAAAAGAAATACATCTTATCTCCTATCTGTACTCTTATATTGATTACAAGTCTTCTATGAATAGAAAGCTATAACTGTCTACCTTCAAGTTTGTCTGTATTACATAAATGCTGATCAGTTTTGGGCAATCTATCCATAGCTGCCTGTCTTTGCTGAGTGGTCTTCACAAATCTGAGCAGATTGATGATGGCAGCAGGTGTCACTCCAGGTATACGACTGGCAGCCCCAATCTAGGAATTAAAAACCACGAGAGAAACATAAATAAGCTATGTCAATTATAAGGAAATCTGTTTTCCTCCTGGTAACAATCTGTATGTTACAGTTTATGAAATATTTTTAAAACTATTATCTTAATGTATCTTCAAAATAACTCAGAAAGTAGATAAAAGAAATGTGGTTATTATTAATATCTTCATTTTACAAACGGGAAACTGAGGCTCAGAGACATTAAAATGAGCTGTCCATGGGCTTCCCTGGTGGCACAGTGGTTGAGGGTCTGCCTGCCGGTGCGGGGGACGCGGGTTCGTGCCCCGGTCTGGGAGGATCCCACGTGCCGCGGAGCGGCTGGGCCCGTGAGCCATGGCCGCTGGGCCTGCGCGTCTGGAGCCTGTGCTCCGCAGTGGGAGAGGCCACAGCAGTGAGAGAGGCCCGCGTACCGCAAAAAAAAAAAAAAACTTGAAAAATGAGCTGTCCAAGATCTTGTAACTAACAGATGTTAGAGTACCTAACCTTTTCTCTTCATTAAACTAATCTAACATCACTAGCAGTGTGTTGGGCAGCACTCTATAATTAATCTCAGTAATATTTCTGTGGTATATTTTTACAGTGAAATGTATGAATTATTCACTCCAAGTGGTATAAAGACCTCATATCAGTTCAGGTCTGTTTTGCCACCAAATGAGTCTGTAGCAAACGTTTGTCAGAGCATTTTGTATTTTAGAATTTTGGATAAGAGGTGAACTCCGAAGACCAGTTCTATGCAATCCAATTTTCTGTGATAATGTAAATTTTCTATAACATTTGCACAGTAAAAATGCACTGTCCAATATGGTAGCCAATAGCCTATTGTAGCTACTGAGCACTTGAAATGTGGCTAGTATGACTGAAGAGTTGAATTTTTAATTTAATTAATGTCAATGGTCGCATTTGGCTAACGGCTATCATACTGGGCAGTGCAGCCCATGAGTATCCACAGAAACATAACCCAATATGAATAGGATACAGTTATAAAACTTAGAGCCTCTTTGCCCACTTTCCACAATGACTTTTACTAAGAACACCATGTTAAGTTCATGAACGCCATGAAATCACTCCTCCCTTTAAAAACCATTTTTTTCAAAATTTTTTGCAGACTATGGTTTTAAGTGCCCCTTTATTTTTATGAACCATTACCAAAACCAAAACCAAAACAAACACAACCCACTGCCCATTAAACTATGATACACCATCAATTTTTAAGATACAACCCAGTTTCAGAGATGTTTAAATGTGTCTCAGAATCAATAAATACAGCCTACCAGTCTTTAAATATTTGTATTACAAGTCCAATATTATATACTATAAAGTTTTTACCAGATGTTTACAGCTGGGTGCACATGCACTCACACAAATGCAAAACCCACATAGACACACGCACACAAGCATTAGCATGGGGTGGGGGGGCCTTGTTCCTCCTAGTGGCTCCCAGCACAACACTGTGGAATCCCTAGGGCGGGGATCCAAGTAGTGATTTGAAAACTACTGATATATATTCTATTTTAACCTAAAGTAGTTTCTTTTAAGTCATGCATATATACAAGTTTGCACTGACAGTTTAGCACAAGGTTGGGACTAGAGGATAATTATAATCAACCCAATTCTTGAATTCCAGTTACTTATTTAGACTAAGCTTTTTCATCTCATAAAAACATACAAAGAGAATATGAAAATAAGAGGTTAAGCTTTTTATGATGAAATAAAAATTAGTTATGTGGCCACTGTAAATCCAGGTTTTAAAAATTAAAGCTCTGGCTCTTTATAAACTGTTCCTATCCACTGCCTGTTTTCTTACCGTCTGTGGGCGACTGAAATGTAGCTTCTCTCGAACTTCATGGGACAAAGACACATCCCTGAGAGTCAAATAATCTAGGTCTTTTGGCAGTTGGAGAGCTTCATCTCGCTGAACTTCTTTTATTTCTTGTTGCTGATGGAGCAATACTGATTCATATGTGGCTGGTGAACAAAATTAATTATGATATGCAGATTACATTAACAACTTACATTTTTAGTTTTTTACAGTTTACAGAGAGCTTTTGCATACATGATCTCAGTACCATGAGACAGGTGGGGTTGGTGTTCCCTTTCACAGATGAGGACACTGAGGCTAAAATAGAGGGAGTATCTTGCGTATTAACTATACTATTCTGTATGGTAGTTTATTCCATGTCCTTTTCATTTCAAAAATCTAGAAAATTAAAAGTAAAAAAAGAAATTGCTTTCCTTCTCAGTACAAATTTTGGTGGAACATTTCCTTCAATAGGCCGTAGGTTTGAATTTTAAGTCCTAAAGATGTTTCTCCAAGGGCTTCCCTGGTGGTGCAGTGGTTAAGAATCCGCCTGCCAATGCAGGGGACACGGGTTCGAGCCCTGGTCCGGGAAGATCCCACATATCGTGGAGCAACTAAGCCCATGAGCCACAGCTACTGGAGCCTGCGCTCTAGAGCCCGCGAGCCACAACTGCTGAAGCCCATGCGCCTACAGCCCGTGCTCCGCAACAAGAGGAGCCACCGCAATGAGAAGCCCGCACACCGCAACTAAGAGTAGCCCCCGCTCGCCATAACTAGAGAAAGCCCGCACGCAGCAACAAAGACCCAACACAGCCATAAATAAATAAATTAAATTTTTTTAAAAAGATGCTTCTCCAAGAAGATGGTTTTCTAAATTATGTCCATATAAAGCTGTAATTTTAAAAAGTAGATCTTAGGTGATAACGTAATTTAAATAATTTAAGGTGTTATTCAGAAGTTAGGAAGATAATTCAGCAATTATTTTGTAATTAAAGCATTCTGTTCTTAGAAAAATAAATCCAAAACCTGTTTTAAAACCTAAATTGAGGTGGGCATTCTGTCCTGTTTAAGAAAGCAAGTCTTCCCTAAAGGATCTGGCAGTATCTGCTTCCATCACTTGACTGGCAGCCAGAAAATCTCAGCTCTGAGCCTGGCTCTGCCAGTAAACTACCCTCTAACTACGGACACATCATTATCCTTCTGGGCCTCAGCTGCTTTATCTAGAAATGTTAAGGGATGACCCGGAGGACTTACGATGGTCTTTATGACAACAAAGGATAGTTGCGAGGTGCACAGGCCTTATAGTCAGACATGCTAGGTTCAATCCCAGCTCTGCCACTCACCAATTGTGTGATGCTGGGCGAGTTATCACTTACTTATCTCTAAAATTAAGACATAATGCTAATAGCTGTCCTTCATAGGACACTTTTAAGTATCAAATGAAATAATGCATGTAATTAATACAATATATAACAAAGTAGTACAACAAATTGGAATGAAATTTTATGACTCATGAATAGACTCTTTATAGGATCACAGAATATAAATGAAGAGGTAATGTATATGTTAAGGATATATTTAATCTTTCAAATATGTATACAGCAAAACATGAGAGATAACTATAAAAAAGAATCTGAAACTAATTTCTGCCTCGCAGTTTCTTGAAGAAACTTGTCTAGTGGAGGATCCAGGCAGTGATTTGAAAACCACTGATATGTTATTTTTTAACTTAGTGTAGTTTTTTTTAAGCCATGGATAGAAATTAGTCTTTATATATGCCAGAGTCTTTAAAGAACAAGACAAAACAGTAGCTACTCCGTGGCTGAAGTCAGGGTTTCCTATAAACAAGTTACAGATAGTTATTCTGGATGATTTATTGGACAAAACAAAACTGCAAACCAAGTTTAAAGTATAACAGCCAGATGCTAACAGCCTAAATGTTCAATAAAGTAATTTTTACTCAATAGAAAGGTCATAGTGTTGAGATAAAAGGTTAACAATATTTCTTACACATTAGCAAATGACTAGGGTCTGGTCATTTGGAAGAATGATAGGTAGCACTTGGGTCATCCTATATATGCAGCCAAAGTATAGCAAGGTGACAGACCTCTCTGGAACTGAAATAAAATTATCACTGCTAGAAGGAATGCAGCATTTTTACCACCTTCGCTGGTCCCCAAGGAGCTTAAAGTCCTTTCCTGTTTGAACAATCCATCATTATCCTGCTTTTCCTACCCTTCTCCCCCATCTCATTCTGTTCCCTGCCTTTTTCTCCACACAATTTTCCACTGGAGGAAAAAAAAATCTATCACAATGCAGAAGCTAATGTTACTCTCAGTATGTTTATCTTTGAAATTTTTTTTAATAAAGAAAAACTTTAAAAGAATTCAGTGCAACTCCAAAAGTCACATGTGACTTTGATGGTCAATATATTGACAAAGAATATGAGAGCACACCAAATGTTATAATAATGTACAAGGGCAGACTGTGGATTTCTTAGCCTGATACAAAGTAAGTATTGTTAATGGAAGAGTATTTCAATATACTGTCAAAGCCAAAGATAGCATTTTTCTCATTATTAGAACATTGAAATGGGGAAAATGTAGGGACTACCCTGGTGGTCCGGTGGGTAAGACACTGCACTCCCAATGCAGGGGGCCCAGGTTCGATCCCTGGCTGGGGAACTAGATCCCGCATGCATGCCGCAACTTAGAGTTCACGTGCTGCAACTAAAGAATTCCACATGCTGCAACTAAAGATCCTGCATGCCACAACTAAGACCTGGTGCAGCCAAAATAAGTGAATTAATAATAAATTAATAAATATAAAAAAAATAATAAAAATTACTTTCTTACAACAGGCAAGTTTACAAGTCTGGAACACACCTTGATCATGTTTGCATTAGATTTTATAATTTAGCATCAGGGTGGAGGAGGGGGAAAAAAATCTAAAGAAAAAGGGGGGGGAATGTAAAAAAAAAGGTGTTTTTTTTTTAAAGGAGAGCTCTACAGTAACACTTCCCAAACATGAAATATACATACAAATCATGTAGGGATCCTGTTAAAAAGCAGATGCTCACTCAGTGGGTCTGGGGTGAAGCCTGAGATTTTGCATCCCTAGCATGCTCCCGCATGTTGCAATGCTATCTGGGAACCCCACTCTGAGTGGTCAGAGCCTAAGATGATGCTGGTCCTATGGTAATAATGGATCCTCTTGACAGAGAGCTCTTCGTGGATCTGCCATCCATTCACAATTTGCACGAAAGGGAAGGAGAACACACAGACATCCTAAGTAAAAAAGTATTTTCTACCTTCTATTTTCAGTCTTTCGGCTAGCTCTCTACATTTGGTGTACTTCTTCAAGGGCTCTGGAACAGCCTTGGCCAACAACTCTATGTCAACTTCCTCATACTTCAGAACATCGAGAGCTCTACAAATACATAAAAGTTTCATTAACAAAGGGGTCCATATTATATCAAGCAGATTAAGAACAAGATTCCCTGAAAATAATACAAATCTCAGAATAAATAATATATTTCTAATTCTTCCCAAGTACAGTGAGCAAACGCAGCAGCAACTGCAACACAGTAGGACCTCAAGAAGATTAGCGTGTGATTCTCCTCAACTCCCTTCCTTTATCATGAGGGATAAGTTGCTGGTAGCATTGCAATAATCTACTTGTCCTCCCTTTCTTGTAAGGATAGAATATCCTCTGATAACAAGGGTTTGATTGAACTCCATAAGAATTTACATCTAAGTCACATTAAGCCCACGTCCTGTGAATGCGTTTGTACATGTGCTCAGAACCAGCTGAAGATCTCCTGGCTTGCTCTCCAAGACTGTAAAATATCCGCAGTTTCCTTCTCATTTTGTTTGGTTCTCACAAGGCCTCACTGATCTGTACAGTTTCCCTTAATTTTACTTTTGTTTACTTTGATCTTTCCCTCTTTTAATAGATTGCTTTTTTGATCAACTCTGTCCACCCAAAACCAATTAAACCAATTAATTATCTAGGCAACAGAAAGTCAGCTCTGCCCATCCTGGGGTCCCAAGTTCTTCAGGCCTCCCAGATGCTTCTTTACAGCTCATCCTATCACCAGGGTCATGCGTCACCACCCTCTACAGGTGCCTGACTCATCTTTTCCTCAGACGGCCTAGGAAAGTCTAGACACCCTGTCTCCACAAGGAGCTGTCAACTTTGTTGTGCTCCACAAGATGAATTATGTCAGCTAATTTCAGAGGCCTCATCAGATAAGCTAGAATGAAACCAAATAACCCTAAACTCCAAAAGGAAAGGGGTTGTCCTTTTAGAAATGATAGCACATGCTGGAACACACCTCCTAATGACCAACCAAAGAAACAGCTACCATGGAATCTTGCAGGATAGTGACCTCAAAGAAAAGCCTGTGACCATTTAACTTTTAAAAAGGTTTTAAATAATTTGTTTATAAGGCTTGGAGCTGTTTGCAGGCCCAAACTTCAGGACCAGCTTTGAATGAAGCCTAAGCCTCAGAGTGCAGAGGTCTGGCACAGAAGGACAAGCTAGCATACTTCCACAGAACACAAGAGACAGCTTTTGCACTACCTGGCAGGTCAATGTGTTTCCCTGTAATCATGACAGGAGATGTGTGTGCACATGCACCTGTGGATCTCTTCTGTCAAAATGCCAGCTCCAAGTCCAGTTCAACTTCTCAGGGCCGGCACAGAGCCCGCCGCGTGTGCCGTAGATGCAACACATGTCCTTTGCCCAAGTTTCTATCTTTTTAGCTTTACGTATCTAGGAAATGATAAAGTGGGTTCTTTTAGGGAGGCTGAACCCTAGACTATAAATATTCTGCTGAAATCAACATGAGGCCCTGTCACTGTCACCGCTTCCTTCTGAAATGAAAGACACCTGAATAAATAAGGAAAGTATCTGGCCAAATTACTGTTTTTAAAAAAAATCACCTTAACAAAATGGCTACTCATGGGATTAGTTAGGTAAAAACAAAACTGACAGCCTCCTTTTTCATATTTTTATTCATCAATTTGCATTTTAAACTGTTGAAAAAAATCACTTCCTATGCTCTCACTGTGACCTCAATCCACATTAGTCACATTGAATGTAAATTCTAATTATACAAAATTTGAAATAGTGCAATATTTGATCTAAACAAAGCATAATGTTATAAATTCTTTTGCAAAGTTTGAAATAATGTGAATCCTCTTAAATTTACACAAATAGCTGGACAACTGAGAGAATTATAAAACTATGTTTATACTACTACCATCTCCCGGTACCACTTAGCTGGTAAACAAATACATCCAGCACCATTATTTGTGAACCAGGCTGTCTTTCCTGTGAATGAGATCTCCTGGTTTGGGTGACTACTATGCAGGTTATTTATTACCTACTGTTACTATAACTAAAAACCTGCTTACCATCCTCTAACCATGGTGCCAGTGCTTTGGGAAATTCCCGTGAAAATGAAAATTTGGGAAAAAGAAATTGTAAACGATAAAACACTGTGATGACATGAAAGTCAAACAAAGACATGCTATGTCTGGCTGTTAGTTAAGGGGAGAGCACTTGGAAAGATTAGAGATAATAAAAGGTGACATTAAAATGGGTATACCGTTAAGTCCACAGATTCCCTCACAGGGAAAACAGGGGTTGGAAATAAAGGAAAACTATAAAGGAAAAACATACTGGAGACACATTTGCAAGATCAAGCCAGCATGTGTGCTTCTAAGATACAATGATTGTAGATTTATGCCTTCTGAGCATCCCACACCCCCGATTAGCTTACATTTTTTTAAATGGGAAAAAGCAGTGGTGAAAGATGCAGATTTTGAATTATGCAAGGTTTTTAGGAACATACCTCTGAAGCAAAAAAGCTCTATATTAATGCCCTTTAGACTTAGAGTCCATATAACCAGAATGGTAAAAACAAGGACAAAACCCCAAAATGTAGCAAGGGACTCTTCAAGTAAGTCCAAAGAATTTATAACACTATGCTTAATCAAAGTTTCCCTCCTATACCTCACAGGCAAGATGAGACCACTCCAATTGCTCCCTGCCTAAAAAAGAAAGCAGATCACTCTATTTCTTGGTTTGTAGCCCCTAAATCTTAGGCAAGCCAGAAGAACTCAATGGGAGCCACAGAGAAATTAAATAAAAAATGAAAATAATTTAGAATCATATATATTGTCATTAGTGAATAAAGAGATAAGTTACATCTAAAGGATTCTGAAAAGAAGCAAATGTAATAGCTGCATTCATTTAAAACGTGCAGGTAGGGAATTTATAGGTAATATCTCTCTGAAACGATTTCATTTTTCTTTAAAAAGTAAGAAAGGCACTTCCCTGGTGGCGCAGTGGTTGAGAGTCCGCCTGCCGATGCAGGGGACACGGGTTCGTGCCCCAGTCCAGGAAGATCCCACATGCCACGGAGCGGCTGGGCCTGTAAGCCATGGCTGCTGAGCCTGTGCTCCACAACGGGAGAGGCCACAACACTGAGAGGCCCGCGTACCGCAAAAAAAAAAAAAAAAAGTAAGAAAGGTCTACATTAAAAATGCATACCTGAGAGGTAGACTTTTACCAATACTTATAGAAGCCTCTGGGATTAAGTTTTTCCATTTAGAACTTGGAAACTCAATGGATTTTAGCACAGAAATGCCTTCTTCTAAAGAAGACTTCATCCAAGTAGCTCTTTCATATCGTTGTTGGGACACACAACCAGCTTCCTTGTACCCTAGAAGGGGGAGGGAGAGACTATAATGAAAGAGGTCTTAAAGGAGAGGAAATCTGGTTGGAAGACTCAGTGAAGAGTTACCTCGGAACGTGAGCCTGCTGTCGGCGTTATCAGGACGCAGTGACAAGCGGAACTCAGCTCGGCTGGTAAACATGCGGTATGGTTCATTGGTACCCAGCGTGGTGAGGTCATCAATCAAGACTCCTATGTAGCCTTCTGTTCGGCTAATGACAAAAGGAGGCTTGTGTCTGACCCGAAGACTTGCATTGATTCCAGCTATCACACCCTACAAGAGGACTGAAATGTTTAAAAGGCCATTATGAACTGAACAAAGAGCTATCCTATTCAGATACTACCTGGAAAAAATGGCTCAGGGAGTGAGAAAGCAGGCCCTGCCCAGCAGGGATAGAACAAAGACAGAAAATGTGGTCCATATTCAGAAAGAGAATATGGGTAATGTACCAGTTTAGAATGCTATGATTCATTGTTTTAAAAAATATCTAATATTCCTAATAAACCTAAGGTGGGCTAATCTTTTTTTAAAAAATCCACTTGTAAGACTTTTTTTAGCCTTTTCCTACTTACAAGTAACAATGACATAACTTTCTGCTTAGTAAAGGAATAATAGGGCTTCCCTGGTGGCACAGTGGTTGAGAGTCCACCTGCCGATGCCGGGGATACGGGTTCGTGCCCTGGTCCGGGAAGATCCCCCGTGCCGCGGAGCGGCTGGGCCCGTGAACCATGGCCACTGAGCATGCGCGTCCGGAGCCTGTGCTCCGCAACGGGAGACGCCACAACACTGAGAGGCCCGCATACTGCAAAAAAAAAAAAAAAAGGAATAATAATAGGGTAATTTTCAGTAAAGTTAGTTTAAAAGAACTAAATTTTCTTTTTTTTAAACTTCAGAAGCAATATAATAAATCTAATCGAAATATGCTATTGGATCTAGGAGCTCAGAATACAGTAACAAAGGCACAGTGCTTTTAAAATCCTGTTGTATACTCTGAAACAGAATAAGTCTTCTATTGTAGCTCTGAGTTATGACATAACAGACATCAAGAGGAACACCAGTTAAATAGTCCTTTTCTGTTCAGTAACATCTGAACAACCTCTTACTTGAGCTGCAGCTTCCTCATAACCAGTAGTGCCATTTATCTGTCCAGCAAAGAAGAGCCGCTGCACCAAATGAGTCTCGAGAGAAGGAGTGATCTGACGGGGGTCCAAGTAATCATACTGAACACCATAGCCTGGCCAAAGAATAAATGGTAAAAAATAATAAAAACACTGGTGCTGGATTTGCCTCAAGGTAGAGATGCAAAGATTATCATTAAATGCTCTTTAAAAACGAAGACTATTTTAAATGCACAGATGTTGGGCTTTATGTTCTGAGGCTCTAAGCAATCATGACTGTGGCTAAGATCTCCTCACCATCTGCTAAGCAATCCTGAGCTCACACTGAAGGGCAGCTGGCATTCTCTTTACCTGGCTGAATCATTTTAGCTTTCTCCAAGCCTCTGATGCATGTGATCATTTTCTCTTGTAATTCAGCTGGCAGTGTCACAGATAACCCTTGCGGGTAGATGAGGTCAGAATCCATTCCTTCAGGTTCCAACCAAACCTGATGTAGACGGTTTGGAAAACGCAAAACCTTTGATTCAATGGAGGGACAGTATCTAGAAAAGGACATTGAAATTTAAAAATTTAATGAAACAAACAAAAGAGGGTTGACATTGTTCCTTATAGTAATTGAGCACTGATATTTTGTCCTTACCGGGGTCCTTTTGTAGTTTCCTTAACGTGACAGTTAAGGTGAAGGTTCTCAAGGACAATCTCATCCACCTGAGGGTTGGTGTGAGTCAAGTAACATGGCAGCTGATCTTCTGGCTAAAACACAGGAACTAGTTACAACATTGTTTTGCCTCTCTATTAGTTTGCCTCTTATTCAAATAAATGCCACACATGATATGCACTTACTTTTATAGACATTAAATCTATGCATAATGCCAAATGCTAATGGTGAAGTATGCTTGTTAAAAACAACCCAAAAGATGAACCTAAATTTACGCAAGCCTCCAGATCAACAGTTTACGGGAAATACAGAGGATGCAGGCACATGTTTAAGGCACCAGAGGGTTGAAATCAGACAAATCTAGAATGTAGGAAACTTCAGAAAAGAAATGACTTGGTTTCTTCCACATATAAATGTAAAAAAAAGAAAAAGAGGGGAACTATTATAAGACATATTATCCAAAGTCCAAAGTCATGTATGGACCTCATTTGGTTCTTGGTTCAAATAAAACAACTGTAAAAAAAGCCATTTTAAATAAACATATAAAAACAACTAAAAAAACTAGGGAAAATTGAGCACTGAATATCAGATGATGTTTAAGAAATTATGTTCTGCTATGTGTGATAATAGTACTGTGTCGATTTTTGCAAAGTCCTTATTTGTTAAAGACATGTACCAAAGTGTATCTGAGTGAAATGATGTGATGTCTGGGATTGTTGCTTTAAAACTAAGCAAGAACAAAGTATTGAGGAAAGTGAACCAGGAATGTCAAAACAGGGAATTCCTTAGTGGTCCAGTGGTTAGGACTCCACACTGCCACTGCAGGAGGCACGGGTTCAATCCCCGGTCAGGAAACTGAGATCCCACAAGCTGTGTGGCGTGGCCAAAAATAAAAAAACTAAAAAACAGAAAGTTTGGGCTTCCCTGGTGGTGCAGTGGTTGAGAGTCTGCCTGCCGATGCAGGGGACACGGGTTCGTGCCCCGGTCTGGGAAGATCCCACATGCCACGGAGCAGCTAGGCTAGGCCCGTGAGCCATGGCCGCTGAGCTGCGCGTCCGGAGCCTGTGCTCCGCAACGGGAGAGGCCACAACAGTGAGAGGCCTGTGTAACGCAAAAAAAAAAAAAAAACGTTTAAAAATATACACACTAGGAAAGCATCATCATGATTTACATTTTACCAAAGTGAAAACATAAAAGTCACTTGCTCAAAATAACAACACTTGGAGCCACTCATCAGGGTAACACTCACCAGAAACTAGGACGATCAAATATTAGCCCTTAATTCTAAACACACAATATACAGTTTTTTGTTTTTTAAATTCAAAGGATAGGTAGAAGTAGCCTGTATCTTCAAAAGTATCAGTGCCATTAAAGACTGAGGAACTGGGACTTCCCTGGCGGCGCAGTGGTTAAGAATCCGCCTGGCAGTGCAGGGGACATGGGTTCGAGCCCTGTTCTGGGAAGATCCCACATGCCGCGGATCAACTAAGCCCGTGCGCCACTACTGAACCTGCGCTCTAGAGCCCGCGAGCCACAACTACTGAAGCCCGTGAGCCACAACTACTGAAGCCCGCACGCCTAGAGCCCATGCTCCACAAGAGAAGCCACCGCAATGTGAAGCCCGTGCACTGCAACGAAGAGTAGCCCTTGCTCGCTGCAACTAAAGAAAACCTGTGTGCAGCAACGAAGACCCAACGCAGACAAAAATAAATGAATAAATAAATTTATTTAAAAAAATAACAGACTGAGGAACTGTTCCAGATTAAAGAGAAATGACAATTAAATGCAATATGTGATCCTAGATTGGAAAAAAAAATGTTGGGACAAAAAAAGTATTGGGACAATCAACAAAATCTATGGATTTTGCATTAGATAACAGTACTGTGTCAATGTTAAATTCCCCAAATTTCATCACTGCATTGAGGTTATAAAAGAAGATGTCTTTCTGCTTAGTTGAGATGCAGACTGAAGTATTTCGAGGTAAAGGGTTATAATCTCTGTAACTTTTAAATGTTTCTGGAAAAGAAAAAAGAATAAAAATAAATGGGGGCTCCCCTGGTGGCGCAGTGGTTAAGAATCTGCCTGCCAATGCAGGGGACAGGGTTCGAGCCCTGGTCCAGGAAGATCCCACATGCCGCGGAGCAACTCAGCCCGTGTGCCACAACTACTGAGCTTGCGCACCCTAGAGCCCGTGCTCTGCAACGAGAAGCCACCGCAATGAGAAGCCCGCACACCTCAACAAAGAGTAGCCCCCGCTCGCCCCAACTAGAGAAAGCCCGTGCACAGCAACAAAGACCCAACGCAACGAAAAATAAATAAATTTAAAATAAACAAATAAATGTGTATATTATTGTTTTATATATTAAATATATATATGTATCTATGTCTCTATATATGGAGAGAGGGCAGAATATTAACAATGGGTGAATTTCAATGGTTTATATAGGAGTTTCACAGTCTTACAAGTTTTCTGAAACTATTTCAAAAAGTTTAAATAGGCAAAGTTATCAAAGTAATGAAATTTAAGAATTTATGGGGAAATATCCAAGTAGCCAAATCAGCTAATCCTTTTAAAGATCCCTTTTTTGCACACTAAGTAATAGTGATGAAAAGTGAATTGCTACCAAAAAAAAAAAAAAAGGGTTAGTCTATATCCTCTGTTTAAAGCCAGATTTTCATAAAGTATCTCACCTTGATCCACACTGTCTCATTGATAAAGCTGAACGGTATGGATGGATTATCTGGTGTCCGCTTGTTTAGAATGCTGAAATTAATTGATTCTTTGGCGATCCGGGGCGGAGTCCCAGTCTTCAATCTTCCCACCACAAACCCCAACTTCTCCAGAGTCTGAGCCAACCCTATGGAAGGCTGATCCCCTAAACGTCCTGCTGGATGCATCTCCAATCCAATTACAATCATGCCTCTCAGAAACGTCCCAGTAGTTAGAACCACACTCTCCGCATACACTGTACTTCCATCCACTAAAGGATAGGAAACAAAATAAAACTCAGGTTCTAATTGTTACCATGGATCAAACTGGAACATGAATATTTTGTAGTAAAACTACAGAAAAATTTTGTCTTTAGAAACTTGAAAAAGATTTTAAATCAGTAAGAAGCCTATATGTTATCTATCTCAAGAATCCGAGAAAGCTGGGATGGAGGGCATAATGTAGTCTCACAGATACACATGTTCCTAAAATCTTGTCAGCACTGAATAGTCTCAGGTAATTTTTCTTTCTTTTTTTTTTTTTCAAGCTGTTAATGAAAATAAGCCTTATTACATCGAGTAATAAATAAAAAGATGCAAACAGTTCCATTTTCTTCTAGATGTTTGGATCAACTTACAGGAAAGGCAGAACTGAAATCTACATACAGTCTCAGAAAAAATTTCGGGATCCTTGTTAGGTTTGGTTTGGGAGGTTGCTCTTTCTTCTGTGTTTATAACTTGTGCATTTTTTTTTCCTTTTTTTTTTCTTTTTTGCGGTACGCGGGCCTCTCACTGTTGTGGCCTCTCCCGTTGCAGAGCACAGGCTCCAGACGCGCAGGCTCAGCGGCCATGGCTCACGGGCCCAGCCGCTCCGCAGCATGTGGGATCTTCCCGGACCGGGGCACGACCCCGTGTCCCCTGCATCGGCAGGCGAACTCTCAACCACCTCGCCACCAGGGAAGCCCTCAGGTTCCGTCTTTTGACAAGACCATTTAGGTGGTTCTGGGTTCTAAAATTGGGTTTTAAAATTGACTTCAAAGCACTAATAGTCATGCAAATGCTTAAGCAAAAAAGAAATTACATTAAGCAGAATCTGTAGTGTATGGGAAACGAGGGGACCACTAGTTAAGTGTGCTGTCAAGTCCGCACTACAAAAAAAAAACCCTTCAAATTGTATCAGCTTACGAAAAGGAACAAAAGAACAATGTGGGTAACATAAATGTATTCAAAAGAGGAGAGCGAGACACTGTATCTTGGAGGCAAACTAGTTTGCTGTAAGATAGGTAATTTTTACGTGCCTCTTTTGAATCAATGCTTTAAAAAACAACAAACACCTGGGTAGTTCCTCACTATTTAAAATGTAACTCCCCATCAGGCTTCCCTGGTGGCACAGTGGTTGAGAGTCCTCCTGCCGAGGCAGGGGACGTGGGTTCGTGCCCCGGTCCGGGAAGATTCCACACGCCGCGGAGCGGCTGGGCCCGTGAGCCATGTCCGCTGAGCCTGCGCGTCCGGAGCCTGTGCTCCGCAACGGGAGAGGCCACAGCAGTGAGCAGACCACATACCGCAAAAAAAAAAAAAAAAAGATGTTAAAATGTAACTCCCCATCAACCACAAAATCTTTCCTCAATCTTACAGGCTGTAGATTCGGAGCCTGGTGAACCACGGGAGGGGCGGGGGGAGGAGAAACAAAACTGTTACCATTTTGAAAACAAAGTTTCATCTTAACAGGGGAGATGAACTGTAACTTCTTCTCTCGGAAGAAGACAGAAAACCTTCCAGGCTCACGAGGCAGCTAGGACCCAGCCTTCCGTTCCGTTTCAGCCAAGCACTCCCGCACCAACCCTCGTGCGTGGATGATGCCGCGTTTCAGGCTCTCCATCGCACTCCTGCTGCCCGCAGAGAGGGGTCTGACCTCTCTCCCCAGCTCTGCGATGACGGCCAGCAGCTCCGCTTATTTGCTCTGGTGCACCTGGCTCTTCCCAGTTTCCTGGGCGTAGGCCAGAGATGGCGGCCCGTAGTCACTCAGCAGCTGGAGGTACTGGGAAGATGTCGCCATACTGGTGGAGGGCGGGTGGACGCTCCCAGAGCCGCTGAGGGAGGCGGCGGGCATGTGCGCGGTCAAGTTCGGGCTGGGAGACATGCCCCCCGAGCAGCAGGGCGCAGTGGGGCGCAGCGGGGCCCGGCCCCGGTGTCCGCGCCCCCGCCCAGCTCCCGCGCACTTTTTGTTCTCGGTTAATTTTTTAAATTAATTAATTTAAGACTTCTGGTTAAATATGACAGACCACCTCACATGATTTCTTCTCCCTCTTGAAACTCCAAGAAAATGAAATAAAGGGGCAAAAAAGATATAAAAGCACAGGACAAGTAATGGGAAAGAACTTGTCAAAAGATGAGAAATTTGAAAATATTTTCAGAAGATAGAAAGTGGCTGCAGTGGGGAGGGAGTTTGGGATTAACATTCACACTACATGTAAACTAGATAATCAACAAGGACCTACTGTATAGTATAGCACAGGGAACTCTACTCAATATTCTGTAATAACCTACAGGGGAAAAGAATCTGAAAAAGAATGGATATATGTATGACTGAATCACTTTGCTGTACCCCTAAAACTAACACAATATTGTAAATCAACTATACTCCAATATAAAATTAAATTAAAAAAAAAGTGGTTGCAAGAGTGATATTTAGCAGAGGGGAGAAGGCCTTAACTCAAGAACCTCAAGAGAACATACTGATGACAAGTAACTTGCCACGCAAAGGCTCAGAAACTGGAGGACTGAATATAAGAAATGTAGGAATGAAGCTAGGGGGCTGAAAATGAGAGAAAGAGTTGAAATCTGCATATGAAGGTTTGCCTGCAGACAGATCTACCTTACACTAATCAAACAATATAATCATCAAATCTGGAGGGGAAAGGATGCAGGGGAGAGAAAGGGAAATGAAAATAAAACTAGTAACTTCAACATGGGGAAGTCAGTAAACACTGACAGAAGAAAGAGAAGATTAAGTATATTATACAAAATCATAGTTACTAAGGTAATATACAGAACAAAAACATGAACTTTTAAGAAAGAAACATAGCTCCCTAAAGCAAAGAAAACCAAACACAGATTAAGTGGTTGAAAAAAAAAAAAGTACAGAATAGTGTGTACAATATGCTACTGCTATGTGTGTTGGGGGGAAATATAAACACACACACAGAAAGATCACACCAGAGACAAGTAACACTCCCGAGGAAGGAAACTGGCTGCCTGGGGCACAAGATTAGAGTCCACCTTTTCATTCTATCTTCTTTCATCTCCTTTATACCATTATATGTATTCCCCATTCAAAAAAAACTAATAAATGTATAATAAAAATTAATTTTAAAATAGCGAAAATAAGTTAATCTCTGTATTTTAAATGATTGAGATTCTTCAGCACAGCCCCTCCTACCATTTTGTTCCTAGAATGGTAGCAGGCGCCAACAGTCCAGTCCCCTGGCAGAAGATGGGTTCTTCACCTGAGGACTAAGACACAGGTGTTTGGGAGTTCCCAACAAAAAGGCCAGTTCAGGGCTTCCCTGGTGGCGCAGTGGTTGAGAGTCCGCCTGCCGATGCAGGGGATACGGGTTCGTGCCCCGGTCTGGGAAGATCCCACATGCCGTGGAGCGGCTGGGCCCGTGAGCCATGGCCGCTGAGCCTGCTCGTCCGGAGCCTGTGCTCCACAATGGGAGAGGCCACAACAGGGAGAGGCCCACATACCGCAGGAAAAAAAAAAAAAAAAAAGGCCAGTTCAATCCCTAATCACCAGACTACAGAGTTGCCCAAGCAATAAAATTAACTGTGCACATACAAATCTTCCCATCACTGTTTAAGTGGTTAAGTCTGTAGAGGGAGATAATAGAGAGAAATTGTTTTTACATACAAATTTAAATTCTATTTGATTTTTGTAAAAATTACATGCATGTGTTATTTTAATTTAAAAATTAATACAAAACTCAAATAAAAAACATATATAATAATCCTGTAAAATATAAATTAAAAATATTTAAAGTCAGAAATAAGAAATACCAGGAGGAAAATACACAATTATGCAGGCTATAGTGTCCCAAAATAAGATGGTACAGAATTTGAGCTTCGTTGTCAAAATGAAAGGAGAAGTATGATTTTTTATAAAGTTTTCCTCATGTGTGAACAGAAAACACAACAATTTCCTAGAATAAGCAAAACATCTCCATACTCTGATCAAAATACATTTCTCACATGGAGTTTGATACTCTTATTATCATCTATAAGCAGTACATACCCAAAACAACACCACTGACGCGGTATTTCCCTGTGTGCTCAGGCTCTGGTTCTGTAAGAATGAGATCTTCTGCAGCTCCCTCCTGAACAGTAAGCAGCGGTGTATTTAGGATTTCTTTCTGTCAAAACAGAAAGCAAGCTGAAACATAACAGTTAAACAATCACTACAGTCTTTCCTGTTTTCATGCCCTGTTCTTACCTGCATGTTCTGTTTATAAAGTTTCCTATCAATTTGAGCTCTCAGACCCCAAACAGCTGGTCCCTTGCGCCGGTTTAATACTTTGTAATGTACACCAGACTGGTCACAGATTCGAGAACAAAGGCCATCCAAGGCATCAACTTCTCTCATTAAATGCCCCTTTCCAATGCCACCAAAGGAAGGATTACAGGACATCTGACCTAAAGAGAACAGACATAAACAAAATAAATATATTAGCATCTTGCATATAGTGAGTCTTGATAAAATAAAAGAACTTGAAGCAAACACTAAAAATGCTGGCGTTCCAACAGGATGCAAGAGTTATTCAGGGTGGGACTTCCTGGCGGCACAGTGGTTAAGAATCCCCCTGCATTCGAGCCCTGGTCTGGGAAGATCCCACATGCCGCAGAGCAACTAAGTCCGTGCACAACTACTGAGCCTGCGCTCTAGGGCCTGCAAGGCACAACTACTGAAGCCCGCGCACCTAGAGCCCGTGCTCTGCAACAAGAGAAGCCACCGCAATGAGAAGCCCGCACACCGCAACGAAGAGTAGCCCCCGCTCTCTGCAACTGGAGAAAGCCTGCGCGCAGCAACAAAGACCCAACACAGCCAAAAATAAATAAATAAATAAATAAATAAAATTTTAAAAAGAGAAAAAGTTATGCAGGGCATCCTGGAAGACAAACCATTGCTGAAAGTTTCTTTTGAATCTTTCCCTTGTACACATTCATTACGTTGCCTTTTCCTCTTCCTTTTCAATGTGACCTTGAAATTCTTACGTCATGAAACCTTCCTAAATCAAGCATAATTTTAAGAAGTCCCTTTGCACTGGTTCACAGTTATAATCAAGTATGTCTTCCATAGATGCCATCTGTTTTCTTTATGCTTATTTTGCAGAAATAATTAAATTATAAGCTTCCTGAAAGTAAAATTCACATTTTATACCTTCTCTTTAAATCCCCCAAGTCTTATGGGAGGTACAGAGTGGGAAAGCTATGTCAACAATCTGCTGATCCGCTGTGGCCAGCTACAAGCCCTCCAAAAGTTTTCATGGTCTCCAGAGGGAGGCTGAATCGTGCTGTGATTAGGAGCATGGGTTAGGAGTGAGCAAGAGATCTGGCTCAGTTCCTAGATTTACCACTTATAAGCTCCATGTGATCTTGGCAAGTTATCTAATATTCTGTACCTCAGCGTCCCTACTCTAAAAACAGGGATGACAGCTGCAGTAGATTATTTCCCTGCTTCCTTTGACACAGAATCACTATTTACTTAGGTAAACACTATTCCCTATGAGGCATTGTTTGGGGAGTATGACCTAAATTCAGTTTAGGAGTAAATCTTTATTGATCTAAAGTAATCATGGTCATCCTACTTGCCAGTGTCTGATTTAGTGTCAGAAGACTTTTCTCTTTTGTCATGAATGCCAAAAAATAGTTTGTCGAAAAGCATTATTTTCCAGGTTAGTATAAAAGATTTTCTGTCTCTGACTTCATTATTTGCAGATGTTATGACTGAATTGAAAGAGGACAATTCCTGCATTCTGTATTCTTACGGAAGTTCAACTTTCTCAACCAAAGCTATCTTTCTGAGGACAGAAATACTTGATACTCTACTACATCCAATTACCTTAAAAAAATGAGACTTTGATTTTAAGATAGAATTGTCATTTACTAAGCTCATCTATTAATATAAGAGTTATTAAAATATCTCTGAAATCTATTCATTTAAAAAGAAACTTTAGATCATATTATATTGGTATAAATACAATGGGTATTTTTATAGGCTATTAATGACTACTTAATGAATATGGGTTTTGATGGGAATTCCTTTATCCTTGACAGAACTACATTACTTATACTATTTAATGATCATCTTAGTTCAATACTTTTTTGTTCATTAGATTTTTTAAATTGTTATTCCTGGTTTTTACTCGGGTAATCATATAGCCTCGCTCCAAAAGAATCGCTGTTAACAGTGCATACTTCTCCAGTTATGAGCTGAATGGTTGTTTTAAAAAGTATTTCAGTACACAAAGCACGGTTAACATTTCAGTTACTATTCACTCTTAAGCAAAATGCAAGAGGAAAGACGTAGGCATGCATAATTTACAGGATAATGTCCTAGCTAGTATCTAAGATGATGCTAGAGGGGAGTCTTGTTTAAATTACGGCCGTCCAACCACAGCCTGTAAGTGCAAAAAAGCACTGTCGGGTCGTCCTAAGCACAAAACTGGGGAATAAACGTTCAGTAGGAATACAGAATGCAATAAAAAAGTACACTCATTCTTCAAAAGGGCTTCACAAAATCTCGAGAAAAACACAATGGTCATTTAATAAACGAGTACTAATAATGTTAACTCACTTAAAAAAAATAAATTTATTTATTTATATATTTTTATTTTTGGCTGCGTTGGGTCTTGGTTGCTGCGCATGGATGGGCTTTCTCTAGTTGCGGTGCGCGGGCTTTTCATTGCGGTGGCTTGTTGCGGAGCACAGGCTCTAGGCGCGGGGGCTTCAATAGTTGTGGCTCACGGGCTCCAGAGCGCAGACTCTGTGGCACTTGGGCTCAGTAGTTGTGGCGCACGGGCTTAGTTGCTCCGCGGCATGTGGGATCTTCCCAGACCAGGGATCCAACAGTGTACCCTGCGTGGGCAGGCAGATTTTTAACCACTGCGCCACCAGGGAAGTCCTAATTCACTCTTTAACCAAAGCAACAAGCTAGTAAAGGGCAAATGGCAACAATGAAATAAGGTATCAGCCAGTATTCCTACAGTTTGACCTTTTCTCAAGGCACCCCCTCTCCCCACCCCCCCGCCCCCCGCCCCCTCCCCACGAATTACTTTTCAGCAGCAGCACAATCCACGGTCCACAGAATAGCCCCTAGTCTTAGAGGTCTGGCCCGGGCCCGCTTGATCTGCTTAACACAAATCAGGCTAGAACCACAGTCGGCAGGATTCTCACCAGCCTTAAGGGAGGGAAAAGGTTGCCCACATTCCAGGCACTGGGAGGGAGCGGAGGAGGACACTGGCTGCTTGCGTCCTAGGCAAGCCCCACACCGCGCTACTCACCGATGGTGTCCACTCGGTGCGTGAGCAGCAGAGTCCGGGAGCCGCACCGAGCGGCGGCGGCAGCGGCTTCGGTCCCCGCATGTCCTCCGCCGATGACTACCACGTCGAAGCGCGGAGTCCAGGGGGCCGCGCTGTCACCGCTGAACCGGGAAGATGGATGGTGCTGTTTGGTGAGTGAAACCGCGACCCAGCGACTACAGCCTCTGAAGGAGAACATGGTTGGAGAAAGGCCGAGTCTTTAACTCTGAGCCTGACACGAGCGACGGGCAAACATTTAGGAGAAGAAAGTCTTCAGGGAGCAGCCATCTTGTGCTGACGTCACAGCGTAGCGCGTCTACGTCCAGCGTCGCCGCTGATTGGCAGTTTGGCGAAACTTTACTGATGAAACAACACCCGGCAGCTGTGCAGGTGGCCAGCGAGGTGAGTGCCTCCTTTCTTGGTCGGCGCAGGCTGTTTTGATTCCATATGGTTCTGGATTGGGGGGACTCCTACTCAGTCATCTTTTGTCCTTTTCAGCGAATTGCTGCCCTGATCACCAGGTGGCCACCTACAAACAAGAATTTGGATGACTGCTTTATCAGATTCTTTGAACTTTCTGGTGCAGCTATCACCTTGACTTCTGTTTATGAAGTCTAGAGTCTGAATAGGAATCGATTTCAAAGGCCTTCAAATGTATTTGTGGATGAAAGATTCATGATGGCTAATTAGGTGAATGGAAGGGTTGAAGGTTAAATGTCCAGCCTTTTGCAGTTGATATTTTTAAAACCTTCTGTATGGTTAGGCCGCTGGAGGTAGCTGTTCTCTTGCTCTCTATACATCCCCTGCTTAACCGGTTCCTACACCCGACTCACATGACTGACCTTCCTACATACTTGCCCCAGGCCCTAGCTAGTGATAGCTTAGCAAAGGGCTGGCGAGGGGGCGTGCCCCTCGGCTGGTTTCCCTGGTAATGAGTCGACCTGTAGTTACTTACCCCTATAATTGCTAACTTCCCTCTGCCCCTGGGAGCAAAGACTGCCCTGTGTCCTGCCCGCCCTCCGCCGTACACAGTGGGGTGTCACTCTAGGACCTTGATTCAGACAGGTAAGCTCCCCGTATCCATTAAACCATTGATGTCTCTGTTGCTGACTCCGGGCTCTTTCTTCTGTCTTGAAGCTGGGCAAGTAGAGGCCTTGCAGGCATGGGGCAGCAGCCAAACAACTTTCTTAGAGAAGAAACTTTTGCCTGGTTAGATAGTGAAACAGCCCATGTGGCAGTTTAATTGTTCTGATTATTAACATCTATCGAATGCATAATATTTTTCTTATTACATTACTAATAAGCATTCTTTACACACAATTTAAAGCTTACAGAAATACAAAACTTTGAGAGTTAAGGAACCCGTAACTTCCATCAGGCCTTCCGGCCCTCATCTCCATAATAATTGTCAGGATTTTGTTGCTAATGCCTCCTAGTGTTTCATACTTATACTAATGCTACTATTATTTTGCATGTATAATACTGATTATATTGTTTTTCAGTTTGCTTCTTTTTTAAACGATGTATTTTTTTTACTATATGCCATTTTATATGAATCTATCTCACTTTTTAGTATTATTGTCAGTTGTTTATATGAACCATAGTTTATTTAATCAGCTCCAATTACTGAGCATTTGGATTGTTTCTGTTGACTGAAAAAAAATGCACAATCCAAAAGTTGAGAGTTATGTTTTATTTAGCAGACATTCTGAGGACTTCAAGCCTGGGAGACAGCATCTCAGATAACTCTGAGAGACTGCTCCATAGAGGTGGGCATGGGGGAAGCCAGGATATATAGGAGTTTTTGCAACCAAGGGCAGGTACAAGTTGGAACATCAAAAGATTATTGTTAATTAAAGAAAGCCAGACATCTCAGGTTAATAAAATTAGCACTTTTCTATGTATGGGAAGATGCAAAGTCTTGGGTCACTGAAATCATTCCTTAGATACTCACCTCAGCTATCTGGGGCCAGTATCCTGTGTTTTCTCATCCTGAGTCTCCTCAGGGTGCACCGTTGGGGGGTGGGTGGCTGCAGCAGTTGATTGCTAGGTTGTGGGCATACCTGGTTTCCATCCTGAGTTCACTCAGGGCTCACTGTCTGGGTATGGGGGCTTGATGGCTGCAACATCCTTTGTTTACCAATATGGCAGGCAGCATTCTTAGTTCACGTTTCTAATTTTTTGATATTATGATCATCATTGTACATATATCTTTTTAATGGAACTATTTATTTATTTATTGTTATTTTTGGCTGCGTTGGGTCTTCGTTGCCGTGTGTGGGCTTTCTCTAGTTGGGGCGAGCGGGGGCTACTCTTCATTGTGGTGCGTGGCTTCTCATTGCGGTGGCTTCTCTTGCTGCGGGGCACGGTCTCTAGGCGTAAGGGCTTCAGTAGCTGTGGCTCGTGGGCTCTAGAGCGCAGGCTCAGTAGTTGTGGCGCACGGGCTTAGTTGCTCCGCGTCATGTGGGATCTTCCCGGACCAGGGCTCGAACCCATGTTCCTTGCATTGCCAGGCGGATTCTTAACCACTGAACCACCGACTCGTCAATGTTTAAATTTGTGATTACTGCTAAATTAACTTTCTAAAAACTTTGTATCAGGGCTTCCCTGGTGGCGCAGTGGTTGAGAGTCCACCTGCCGTTGCAACGCACACGAGTTCGTGCCCCGGTCCGGGAAGATCCCACATGCCGCGGAGCGGCTGGGTCCGTGAGCCATGACCGCTGAGCCTGCGCGTCCGGAGCCTGTGCTCCGCAAAGGGAGAAGCCACACAGTGAGAGGCCCGCGTCCCGCAAAAACAAAAAAAAACTTTGCATCAGGTTGTACGAACTGTGTAAGATTATTTCATCACACTGTAGCTAGCACTGGATTTTAATTAAGTTTTAATTTTAAATATATTTTCATTATTTTTCAATATATTTTAAAAATATATTTTCATTATTTTTAATTATTTTTCAATTTTTTAATAAAAATATTCTCATTATTTTATATTTAATATTTTAAATATATTTTCATTATTTTAAAATTTATTTTTCATTATATTTATTTCATTATTTTATTATTTTTTATATTTTCATACTATCTGTGACCTATATACATTGTATTGTGATCTGCTTTTTACATAATAGATTATCATGGACATTTTTCTATGCTAACAAATACAGGTTTATGTCATTTTTAAAGGCTACATCATGTACTGTTTTATTAATAAGTATTTTAAAATCAATAGCTTGAGCCTTTGATTAGAGAATCACAGGCCTACATTTTCAATTTCACTATTGCCTTCACATGGTGTATATTTAAATCAGACCCTTCTCTTTCCTATAGAGATATTAATTACAGACCCAAAGATAAGATGTTTAGGCAGGGATAGGTATATGATTAACTGGATTTCTGCTGTAAAAGAAAATAAAGCTCTTTATGCTGAAGTTAGTCTGTTACTTTTTGTGTTGAGGATCCCCAGAACCATCCTCGGGTTTAGTGATAAGTTAGAAGGACTCACAGAACTCAGAAAAGCTGTTATATTCATATTTATGGTTTATTACAGTGAAAGCATACAGATTAAATTGAGTAAAGCCAAAAGGCACATAGAGTGGAGTCCAGGAGAGACCCAGGCACAGGCTTCCAGTTGTCTCTCCCATGGAGTCATATAGACAGTACTTAGTTTTCCTAGCAATGATGTGTAACAACACACAGTAGTGCCAACCAGGGAAGCTAACCTACACCTTGGTATCTAGGGCTTTTATTGGGAGTCTCATGATTCTGTGCCTGCATGACTGACCTATTTACTTAGTCTCCAGCCCCTCCAGAGGTCAAACTGATACAGCATGGATCACATTGTTAGTATAAACTGTCTAACACGGTCCAACCCCCCAGGTATATACAGAGACACTTTTATCAGGCAGAATATTCCAAGGGCTTAAAGTTATCTCCCATGAACCTGTTAGGGGCCAGTCCTTTTTTTGGAATGTGCGGAGTTTGAACACCCGAAGTCTGCGGAGTTGATCCTTTACTGCACACCCTTTTTATGAGTTAAGGCAGCGGTCCCGAACCTTTTTGGCATCAGGGACCGGTTTCATGGAAGACAATTTTTCCACGGAGCCTTGTTGGGGGGGCTGGTTCAGGTGGTAATGGGAGCGACGGGGAGCCATGGGGAGCGGCAGATGAAGCTTCTCTCGCTTGCCTGCTGCTGACCTCCTGCTGTGCGGCCCGGTTCCTAACAGGCCACAGACCAGTGCCGGTCCACGACCTGGAAGTTGGGGGCCCCTGAGTTAAGGGAATTCTTTTAAAAAATATTTATTTATTTACTTGGCTGCCCCGGGTCTTAGTTGCAGCACACGGGCTCTTAGTTGCAGCATGTGAGATCTAGTTCCCTGACCAGGGATCGAACTCCGGCCCACTGCATTGGGAGCGTGGAGTCTTAACCACTGGACCACCGGGGAAGTCCTGAGTTAAGGGAATCCTCATTAAGTTGTACTGTTTCATATTCTTAATATTTAACTCAGGCTTGATTTTTATGTTAAGAGATATCTTGCAAAATTACAGGACACCTTGAGGCACAGTGTCAAGGTCCTGGGTCGTAAAAGCCTTTTTAGTACCATGATTATAGAAAAGAGAATTAATAATAATAAGAAGAAACATACACATTACCAGAAGACATTTTGGCCTTACAAATACTATTTTTAAAAAAACAGATAATTTAATTGTTAATGAATTTCCTTCTACTCTATACTTAGTTTCAAATCTACCGTTGAGTAATCTGAGAAGCAGAAAATCAAATCTCTGCTTTTGAGAGGTATATAGTTTCTTGGGCAATTGAGGCAGGGTATAAGCAATAGAAGAAAAAGGTGATCAATTTTACTTCCACTTTGGAGAAAGGTTGGATTTACAGAAATGAAAAATCTCAGTCCTTGTCCTCAAAGAGCTCCCAGACTACTGACTGGCACACACACAGTTATAAGGCAATGCATTAAATCCTATAATAAAGCCACAGTGAGCTGCAATTACAGAGGGAATGATCCTGTCCACCATGGCAGATGATAGGAGATGCTAGCTTCTTAAAAGAATTGATTTATGAAATGGACTTAAAGTAATTTATCATAAAAGGAAAGAAAAATGATTGAAGAGTCCTTAATTTCTGGCCTCCAAATACCTTCCTTAATCGTTTTCCGTTTGCATTTGCTGTTAACTCAGCCTGGAATACATTTTTCCTCTTCCCTTGCCCTGCACCCTCACCTGCCCACAAACTTTAAGGTATCTCATGCTTCAAATGAGAAGAATGTCACTCAACACAAAAGGAAGTTACACATAGGCAAGATGATGG